GTGTGACATGATGAGGCCTGGGGTCCCGGGTCACGTGGATTTCACGATCATCCGATTTCACCATCATCTGCGACAATAACTTACCTGACAATGTAACTTACATTGTAAATTACATTGTAAATTACATGACCCTATGTAGAGACATTATAACTTACATAATAACTTACATAACTTACATAATTTTATAAATTTTAACTAAGTAAACATATAAAAATTTTTTGTAAGTTATATGTAAGTTACATCAAAATTTTGAAATTATTGTAAGTTATACAACCCTAACCCTATATAAGTTACAAAATATATTATAGTAAAGCAGGCTTTGATATTAATGCCGGCCAGAATAATTTAGCCAGCATTAGGTTATTAAAGGATAAAATTTTTATTATACATAACTTACCTTACATAGTAACTTACATAACTTAAAATGTAACTTACATTTTAAAAATAACTTACGGTAAGTTATACAACCCTAGGTCAAACACTAGTAGAGTTGTAAAATTACTGTAATTTTACGTAATTTTGTGTAATTTTGCGTAACATAGTTTTCATGTAATTTGTAATTCACATGAATTGCACTTTCTGAGATCAAAATTTTCAGTAGTTGAGGAGTTACAAATTAAATAAATCAAATAATGCAATAATTCAGGCCGAACTTTTGTAAAGCTGGTACACTAATAACGTGAATTAAAATCTAACACTGGCCCAAATTAAAGTCTAATGCTGGACCAAATTAAAATCTAACGCTGCCCTAAATTAAAAACTAATGCTGGCCCAAATTAAAGTCTAACACTAGGCACAAATTAAAGTTAACGCAAATATAGGTCTAACGCTAGTCCAAATTAAAATCTAACACTGGCCCAAATTAAAGTCTAATGCTGGACAAATTAAAATCTAACGCTGGCCTAAAATTAAAATCTAACGCTGGCCCAAATTAAGGTCTAACGCTGGCCCAAGTTAAGGTTCAATGCTAGGCCAAATTAAAGTCTAATATGGCCCAAATTATGGTCTAATGCTGGCCCAAGTTAAGATATAATGCTAGCCCAAATTAAGGACTAACATTGGCCCAGATTAAGGTCTAATGCTGTCTGAAATTAAAGTCTAAACACTTGTGCTAGTGTTGTATTACAAAAATTACATTTATGTATTTCATGTAAAAGTTTGATTTTGCTGAGCACTAGATTGAAGATAAATATGATTGAATAACACCTAGGGAAAGTTTATCATGTTTTATTAAACTCACTGATTGAATACTATATAATTTAATCTTAATTAAATTCTTGAAACAAGAACAATTCTGAACAAAAAGTTTCTTGTGCTTTCCGTCTCAATAAAGATTTAATTTGGAATTTAAACTTAAACGATCCCACGGACCTACGGGTTCGTGAAATCATGTGATTTTACTGAATTCCATATAATTTTTTTGTGCTATAAAAATCTTTGAATTTACTCAAAATTTTGTTCTGGCAGTTCTTTTTTATAAAATTTACTCCTAAAACATAAATAAATTTATTAAATGCTTCGCGAATTTTGAAAAAATTGTATCTTCAAAAAAATTTTCGATAATGATGGAGATTTCCTAAAAATCATATATGTGTAGCGTGCGTGACAATCTTGATAATCAAATCATCCAAGCAATCTTACTTTAGAAGTTAAATTATTTTTAATCAAACACAAAAATTATGTTATAAATTATATGTCAAATTAATTATCAGTATATATAATAAAAAAATTTATTTTGTTTAATAGGTGGGATATGCGAAATGATTTTTATCCAAACATATGAAAATGGGTCAATTTCATTGGTCGATGCAAATCAAGTTATCTGAAAGTTATTCAGCGTTTTGATTGGTTGTTATTTTTCGGGGTGATGTTACCGAAGAACCAACTTCGAACGGCCTAATGGAGTCTTCAGACTATAATAAAACATATAACCCGCTTCTGGAATGCTCCGGGGTGGGTTATTAATCTAATTATTAACTGGAGCACTCTATTAACAGCCTTAATACAGTAATACTTGATGCATTTTAGGGTTGTACTACGTAGGATTTGCACCTTTACCATTTTCCTTGATTAATAAAAATTTTACTAATACTTTGAATGGCACTAGTTTGTGTTAACGTAAAGCTAATAACTGTAAAAGCAACAATAATTGCGAAAAACTGCAAAAGGTATTAATTCTGAATTAAAACTTCTTTTTAGTAAAATGAGATGGGTTAGCTATTTGTTTTCGGTAAGATGCTTTAAGACTTTTCTGAACTAATATTAAAAATTCTATTTGCTATTACGGATATTAAGAATTATTTTTTTTATATTATCTAATATAGAGCTGATATAAGGTCCCGATCTTAGTTTTTAGGGGTCCTGAATATTTTTACTTAGAGTACCACCCCAGATATCAATAGATGTTTCAAAATAGATATTTTTATTAAGTAAACCCTTGCAAAGTGCAATATAATACATGGCAATACCATATCTTTGAATTCTCTCGGCATCAGTATTATTTTCTCTTTCTTTACAAGTAAGTTCTTTAAAAGATTCATAAGCTGATTTGTATTTTCCTTTTTTGTAATCTTCAATAGCAGATTTTAATAATCTCGTATATAAATTTTCACAGACTAGTTGTCCCATTTTTTTTTTTTGAACTCAATTTAATTCAAATTCAATTTAAGTGCATTTGACATAAGCATATGTATAAATATATCCTTTTAAATTAATTGGACTATATTGCACCTTTGATATTCATTTTTTTCTTGACAGCGTGGACTAAAAGATCCCCTTTAATAATACTCTTCCTGATTTTTAGGGCTAGAATGTATTTTGCCTGGGAATTAAAAATGGAATTAATTGACTTATCTTCTTTTTTATTATAAGGCGAGCGGTCCTGCAGTATCAAAATAGCACACATATCAGCAAAAAAGTTTTTTTTTTTTTTAGCTTGCCAGGAAAAAATAATAATTAACTCAACTAGTGTTGGGCAAATTAGTGGTCGACTAAAAAATTTACTGGTCAAATTGGTCAAAAAGATTCTAGATGAAAATAAATTTATTAAATTAGCAATCCATTTATACATGTACTTAAACTCCATTTCTTTGTTTGATTAATTTAAAAGCGGTATAGACTTTCGCGTAATTGTGTAAATAATTCTTGAAACAATTGAGCATTCCCGAGTGATTAATTTATTCGTATGCTATACCTTTTTTTTTTAATCACTTAAAAAAAAAATTCTAATGTTAAAAATTCTAAGAATAACTTGTTTTCATACGTCTTTTTTTTTTTTCTTCAGGCTGCTTCTACTTTCGAGCCAAATAAGTATTATAAAATTTTTCTAATAGCTAGCAAAGTAATGTCGCAAAAAATTGGCAGTCATGTTACTAATCTATCAAAGCTTTAATAACCGTTATAAATTGTTTCAAAAAAAAACTTATTTTTTCTTATGTTCGCAAGTCATTATTATGAAATAAATATTTATCAAGATTAATATTATCAGAATGTAATTTATTAGAATATACTGTAAATTTTAAATTATATAGTATGCTATTATAATCAAGTTTATTCAAGTTTATTTATAATAAAGGATAGAAGAAAATTTTTTTATTTCTTCGTGTTGATATTCTATCAGTTTTTAGCAAATCATTCAATATTATTCAATGCTAACTTGGCTTCTTTTTTTTTTTACACACCCTACAACAAATTCTGAATGACAACAAACCATCATATCACATGATTCACCATCCCATGGTCAGTGAAATCACGTTATTTTAGCGTTAAAATAGTGTTTATAACTCTAATTTTTTGATTTTCTGTAATAACTTTTCATCGAACTTAGGGTTTGTATGGTAAGCACAATTATCTTTTAAAAGATCTTTGAGGAATTGGTCATACTCAATATTACTAGTTCGGGTTAAATATCTTGATGTTATACCAGATTCAACAAGTATTTTTGCTGGGCAACGAATAATATGCAACAATTCTATTAGTCTCCAGGTTCCTTTCCAGTACCTCAATTCTTGTGCTTCGTTTATATTCAATATTGATTTCATTTTATCTTGTATATGACCGCGTATGATTCGAGGTGG